CTCAAGGGTACTACCCATATATATAAAAAATCATTTAATTAAAATATTTAAAACTCACATTTATATCTTCAGTTGAGAGCACAAGGCACATGAAACCCATATTTTCCTCTACGCGCGATTCAGCCTGCTCTTTGCTACACGCTCTAGCCCTCCACGCTGTCGTTTTTGCTTGTAAGATGTAGATTCCTCCTTTGTACTCAAACACACTCTTCTTTGCCCTTTTTTAGCCCTAGTCTTGCTTATTGTCGACGCTGATGCTCCTGCAGTTTGTCGCCCTCGTCAAGACTCCCCGGGTAAGTAATTCACGATCAGAGTAGGCGTCTGCTACGAATTCTCTCACTCGCATCCGTCTACCATCGATTTATAGAATGAACTCACCCCCTGAGTTCCCAACCCCTTGCTTCATTTCCCTCCTTTCGACTCGTTCAATAGAGATGAAATGAGGTGCAACACTATCTAACTTTGAAACCATGTTAGCCCAATTTTTTGGTCAATTTATTATATTCAACAATGTGAAACTCTCCTCCAACATCCTTTAGATAAAATTATACTTAATACTCACATACTTTTATCCTAGAATGGAAGGTTGCATTCTTAACATGATGCATGACACAGACTATCAATCACAAAAGAGTATCATATTATTCTTTCCCAAGGCTCTCAAGAAGAATCAAATCATGCAGTTGCATATTCTGCTTCAACGTTAATAAGACCACTACCTTCTTTAACTATGGAATATCCAACAAATACTAGTAATACCGGATATAGATATATCATATGTTACTTCATCAAATATCTAGGTCACAACCAAGATTAGCATTATAAACAAAGCCCTACTTACCAAAGAGCTCTAGCTTAAAAAGTATGCTCACTTAGACGTTATCTTATGTTTTACTTTCAATTAATAAAATATTTTGAGTATGTTTATCTTTTCCAAAAAAGACCTACAAGCCCATGTCATCATTGTCTAACTGCATTGGTATCTTATTTAGAGTGTATATATATTGACCCATTGTTCCCACTAAACGATTTATATTAGGTTTATTGGCCATATATGCCCATGTTTGCAAACCAACAATTGAAGCATAAAAAATTGTAGCGATTGTTCTATCTCTTCATTAATTTTAGGTGTTTTTTTAAAAATTTGGGGTGGCATGCAATGAGAGTGTTTATAAATTTTACATTTATTATATTACATTGGTTAAATACCTTCTCAATATAATCAAATTGAGGTAAATTCAGTATCCAATCTGTCATGACTAATTCTAATCACAAAAAAATTATTTGCCTCTCGGTAGACCTTGATGCAAAGTCATTCAATAATTATTCCTACAGTTTTTGGACCTCACTACAATTTGCCATGCAATAAACAAGCCATATAGATCTAAGATTAAGATGACACAAGCCTTACTAACACCTTTGATGTAACAACAATTATTTGCATCTAGTAAAGTTAATTTGATGGATGAACCAATCAAAGATTTAGCAGACAAGGAAGCTAACTTTGATCCATATAAGCTCGAGTGGACTAAATTTGATAAATTTCAAAACCTTTGAAAATCCAAACCACCTCTTTTGGACAGGGAACCACCTTTAATCAATACAAGACTTCAGTTTGCAAACATGGCTTCTTTTAAAGAAATTCAAAGCCTTTAAGTTTCGACAAGTAGAAGTCCTTTAAATCAACACGAAGAAAATTAATTTTTTATATCTA